TGGGGCAGCGGCGGAGGTGTGGGGGTGAGAGGTGTGATGTCCGAGCGAGTGGAATGACCCCTGGGTGTGCGTTCGGGTCGGCTCGGAGGGTTTCCATGTGGGATCCTGGTTTTTCAGGGCGACATTCTCTTCCCTCAAGGCGGCCATTTCCTGCGCGTCTTTCTCTCTTTGTTTTTTCATGGCGGCCATCTCCTCCTTTAGCTGCCGCACCATCTCGGTTAGGTTCGTCTCATCAACCACCTCGACGTGGTCCTCGTCGGATCGGTGCTCCTCATTGGATCGGTGGTCTTCAGTGTTGGTCCTTCTTGTCTCCGCCATAGTAATAACAGTCTGTCTTCTCAAAGCTTTTGATTCGACCCCACGGTGGGCGCCAAAATGTTCCTGTCTAAGGGCACACTTGTAATCTTCCGGTAGCTGGAGGGTCGAACGAGAGCTCTGGGTGGATGCTTCAAAGGGGGAAGGTACCTGCAAAAGGCACTCCAACGCTCAAGTCAGGACAAACACGATTCTCGAGAATAATAAATGAACAGTAACATATCTTGTTTTACGTGGTCTATTTATACCACTTGTGATGGACCTTGAGCGTAGTGGGCCTCTTCTAACACTTACCAAATTAGGTAATACGGTGATAATCAGTTGATTATGCCTTAATCGCGCGTTTGTCCTTGTTAATCGTGATCCTCGTCTTAATTGTTGCTTGGCTTTATCGGCCTCTGGACGAGCTGATAGATAAAGGGTAAGGGTTGTCCTTCGTTGTTGGCCCTTAACCGGGCCGATAGATAGGGGTTGGGTCACCCTTCATTCTCGGTCCTTGGCCGAGCCGATAAATAGAGTTTGTCTTACCGGTCTCTGACCGAGCCGAGGTTGTGTGATTGGGTTCTCTCTAGGTTTCGGTCATTTGTCGGGCCGATTGTTGAGCCATTAATGGTCTTGTATGCTTAATACGACCATAGTCGTGTCCGAGGTTCGCGTGGATGTCTGATAAGACAGCACGTGTCAGTCTACGTGGCCGATAAGACCCTTCCGGTACAATTTTTTAATGCAATCCTTTAAACTATGGAAGGTTACTTATTATTATTATTAGTAATTTCATAAATGTTTAAATATGTTTTTAGTCTCTCAAATTTAAAATAAATTTGTTTCTGGTTCTTCAAATTTAGAATGATTATTTTTAGTCCTTGTCACTTTAAAAATCTTGTTTTAATCATTTAGATCACTAATAACATATCTGAAAGTGACAAATTAAAACGATTATACAATATCATTTGAATTTAATGCGATGTTTTTACTATAGGAATATCAATAGGTAAATTTTATGTAATAATATTTAATAAATTTTTTAACAAAATTTGAACATAAAAACTAAAATTAATTTTTTTTAAAATTATAAGAACTAAAAATAATAATTTTAAATTTGAAAGATCATAAAAAAAATTATCTTAAATTTAAGGGACTAAAAATATAGATAAATGTTTCAAATATTATACAAATTATACTATCATGACTTTGATCTCCCTCATCGTGACATTATGACTATTTAGAAGTAATTGTCCACTAACCAAGTTCTATTTTGTGGAATCCCTATGGAGACCATGTCAATAAATACAGCCGACGAGAGAGAGGCTCGAACGGTACAGTTATACATAAATAGTGTAATTTAATTTATAATATCAAATTAGTTACTTTTATATAATTTAATATAAATTAATTAAAAAGTTATCCTCTTTATACATAAAAAAAAAAAAAAAAAAAAAAAAAAAAAAAAAACCTTCGATTTTCACTTTAATTCTTCTTTCTTTTCCCTTTACCAAATCGAAAGGTTCAGGGTTTTCCGCACGCACCTGAGCTCCTCTTTGGCCAAGACTAGCAGAAGCGATAAAATATTGATGCAATGATTCTTCTACCGTATATAAATTAATATGGTTCGGACACGAACGTCATTGTGGTGGAGTATATTCCCAAAAAGGTTACCTTTAAAATAAAATAAATGTTATGTTTAAAATTTAAATACGGCAAAATTACAGTAATGTTTAATTAAACGAAATGAATAATATGGGTCAGAAAAACCCAAACAGATACTTCCTAACTTATTTTCTTCTAAAAATGTCACATGCAAAAAAGAAAAAGAGCGTTGTGGTGTCGTGTTGCGGTGTTCACGTGACATTCAGAATGAAGTAATAACTCGCTAGTTGCATTTCTATAAAAGACAAGTTATAAAAAGAAAAAAACAAATCAGAGTCTTGTCTGAATCTTGAAGTCATTGACCGATGTACCCCAACAACAACAATCTGTTCTTGAGAAGGTACAACCTGAAGTAAAGGAAGAAGATACACAGGACTAACATTTCACCACACAACTACATGTACAGGTATATAATGCTGATATCCTATCAGCCATTCAATGTTATATGATGGATAAGATGTATTATTGACACCTTCAGCGTTATCCAGATGATTTCCCTTCTCAATAATTTCTTTAAACTTTTTTAGTATATGTTATGTTATGTTATGAATTTTTGTTTTCAGTCTCTGAACCATATTTTTGTCTTTGAATTTATGATATGTTATGAATTTTTATTTTTAATTTTTGAATCACATTGCGGTATTTTGTTGAACGTATGTATGTAGTTGGCATTTTGGAACGGCCCGTTCTAAAACCAGAACGGCCCGTTCTGGTTTCAGAATGGCCCGTTCTGGATTCAGAACGACCCGTTCTGCTGCACTCGTGGTGTGTTAATTTTGCATCTGGAACGGCCCGTTCTAAATTTAAAATTAACACACAACATGTGCAACCAGAACGGGCCGTTCTTGTTTCAGATGCATTAATGAAATTTGACATCCACCTATACATCTACGTGGCATCCACGTGGCCAACAGTTAACTCCGCTTAAATAATTTGGACGGAAGTCCGACATTGCAACAATTTAATTTATTAGGGACCAAATTGAGACCAAAAATTAAAGTGAGACTAAATTGAAACAAATAATTATAATAAGGGACTAAATTAGGTTTTTAGCCTAATTAACATTAAATTTAAAAAAAAAAAATATATATATATATATA